AAGGAACCACTAACGGTAATTAGTAATAAGTCGCCCCCAGGTCAAACTTCATATTTGTGATTTATATCAGATGTAGCACATGCGCAGCGCGACGACTACCGCCCTTTAAAAAAACCATGCACCCTGTACTGTTGTGAAATCAAATCAAGACATACAGGTATAATTGATGTTTGATGAGAAATCTTACCTATAGATATTTTATTTTTTACTCCATCACAAGATTCCATTAGAGGATCTAATAACTGACTTCTACTTTTGATGTAATAACATTTTCTGGAGGTTACAGCCCGGAAATCTAACTCAACGTAAGTTTTTGGCAGAAGACCTTCATCCTGAGGTGGGTATTGAGAACAGCATTATTTTTAACAAGATATTTTCTATATTCGTAAAGAGGCTCAAACACAACATTACACTGACTAGACAACAACAGGTTGGGTTGATATTTGTAAACTGAAGTTATGCAGATGTTAATAACATAGTTGAAAACATTTTGGATTTCAAGCCTCTATTATGCTACCCAATCAGTTTGAGTGAAGAATATTGTTTTTCAGAAGCACACCCCAATTGTCCCCTACACACTGTACAGGTACAAATGATTTTTATTATTTTTCACTAAAATTGATTTTACGGACAATATGTATATATGACTAGTATTTGAGTCAACGTGCACAAACATGTATATACAAAACATACCAGAACAAAACGAAAAGAGATATTTGTATCAAAAGAAGTATAATTTTTTGAATATATATAAATATATTATTTTAGTTAATTTCTTTATTTTGCATATACACTGATTTTATTGAACCACTCATGAAGTCTTTTTTTGTCAATGCTATGCTGAAACAATTGCATTCTTTGATTTTGCATTGAAGTATATTTGAAACATTGGCACGATTGTGAACATGTGTTGATAGTACTGCCTATTTTGAGGACATCAAGTCTACTGGTTTGACTACAATTATTTCAAAACTGATAACAATCATGCCAATGTTTATATGTCAATGCTAAATGGACACTCAAAACAATGAGTGTTATTTGCTACATTTAGAAATGCAGTGGTTCTGATGTGTCTGATGGGTGCATTGGCTTTGGACATGAAGTACCCGTATATGATTCACAGTAAATTCATCCCAATCCACATTCGTCCCAAACACATTCATCCCACAAGTCAATTCGTCCTACCTCAGTAATTCACATTCGTCCCATTTCATGTTTGTTTTTTTGTGGTCAGCATTACGATCTTGGGCAGAGTGATATAGATTTCTATGTTTGTGTGCAAGGAGTTGAAATCGTTTCTGTTGTGGGTTTGGCCAACAGTATATAGTTACTGACACGCTTGCTATACTGGTATACTAAAAGTACCATGAAATATGACTACCCAGCACCACCATACTTACTTGTATGCTGTACAATTAATAATTCTATGTTGCGTGTACGGCGTATATGTATTTATTATATTAATAATTAACTTATAACTGAACTTTGCAAGTAGCTATGTCATATTTGTATTTATTAACTCATCACTCTATGTTGCATGTAGGGTGTATTAAATCTTAATCTGATGAATTAAATCTGATGAATTGACTTGTGGGACAAATGAACTTGTGAAGAATTGACTTGTAGATCGAATTGACTTGGAACGAATGTGATTTGGAACGAATCGACAGACCCCGAAGTATATCATTGTTCACTTTGTACATGTATTTGAGATTCTGGTCTTCATAATGATATTTTTTTTAATTGTAGTATTTATAACATTAAAGATGGATAAAAACAAGATTAAAATAATGTTGTTAGTCACAACTATGACAATAATAACATATACCCTATTCACTCTATTAGTAGTGCATGGGATTTATGTAAATTACAGAGGTATGTCAAAATATTCTGATGATTCTGCATACAACAAATATGATTTTTGTTTTATATGCCCTTCTATTGTAGATGTGCTTTTAATTGAGCAAATATGCTAAATACCGGCAAATACCGCTAAGTATGTGGGTGAAAGGTGTTGTTTATAGATTTACGTAAAATGTAACGTATTTAAATAACGTATTTACATGTATGTGATTATGACAATCACTGCTCTTGAACTTAACCATTTGAAAAAAATTAGCCTTGTACATGTCAGACTGACCTTTAACCTCCAGAATAAAGTATCAAATCCAGCCCCAAGACTGATAATTTGACAATTGGATTCTGTCTTTTTTATAAAATCTTCTAGTAAATACTTGATACCATGAGTCCGGACATAGTAACCTGCAGAATAATTGAGATATAAAGTTTTCAAAGTTCACTACATCGTCCCTGGGCAGAAAGGGGGTAGTTAAGTACCAATATGTGTCATTTGCTAAAATGTGGTAGTAGATTCCAGCTAGTATAGCTTGTGGAGAAATGGGAAAGAAAAACAACACGCGGTGGTGTCGACTATGCAGTAAATCAAATCATTTACAGATAGCTACTAGTGGTGTCGTAGATATAAATATCTAGATTAAATAAAATGGCAGACTTCATTATGTTTCTTATCTGAAAAAAGTACCACACGGCACTGAAATATATATTTTTCAGTTTACAGATAACAGTTTGTAAATAAACTACCAAGACTAAACGGACAGAGCATATTTTTATTAATGTTTAACCATGACGAAATATGAATATCTTTGTGGCATACTTATTATTTTTTATTCACCTCTGTTTATTTCGGGGGCTTTCCTTTCAGCTGCCTTTACGAGGAACTGTAAATATGGGTCTCTCCAGTATCCCTGCTGGATAGCAAATCTACAGAAAACACACACGAGAAATGTTTACATTAGCATCACCTGTAACCTCTTGAGCTATCGATTGTTTTCATAAAGACCACTAATTTACACACACATTCAAATATTAAAGTGTTCAGTCTAAGTTAGTTGCTGTCTTTGTTACTTAAACTGACCTCTTGCACGATGCCGCGTCATCGTTTGTTGCTTGTATGGCTTCGTCACCCATATTTTCATTTAGCGATATCGTCACCTCAATATAACGCCATTTTGGTATCACCTAGGACGCCCCAGCACATTAAAATAAGCTGCAATAAATTTGCATACCTACGGCCAATATCGTATCATGTCATATTGAGTAGGAATTATCGCTTTGAAAGTTTCATGGATTACATTAATCTATTATAATTGTTTATGTTAATGAGATGTTTGATTCGAATTGGCTGTTTATTGAAAATGAGTTTCACCACGACTTACCAGACAAACAATTTTCAAGCAACCTAAGTGGTATTGGGACATCCCATCCGAGAGAGGACAGTACAGAAAGAAAAGATGACAGTTCGAACAGGGCAGGTAAACGTCACTAAAGATGACGTGGGAAGATAAGATAGATACCAGGTGAGTTATCTGAACGTATGCATTATTTTATCCTCTGTCGTATCTATAGGTCACAGGTATAACACTTAATATCGTCGCGAAGATCTGTCTGTCTGTAGTAATTTGTAATGATGTCTTATTTCAGTGTCGGTAGTCCATGTAGAAATCTTCGTTTTTTGAAAGAAATGGTTTCGACGATTCAAGAATGGTGGGAGGAATATCCCTACCAGATCTCTCTGTGCGTAGCCCTTGTTTTCTTTGTAATTTGGACTCTCTCGAAAACATGTAAAAGACGAAGACGTCTGCATGATATACCCGTACGCGACATCACGAAAGGACATAGGTGGTTATTGAAAGACGAGTTTCGCAGATCGACCTACTGTAGTGTTTGCGAATCGCTCATTACTCATGGCGGAGTGTGCGATTCGTGCAGTGTTTGCGCAGACGATATCTGCTTATCAGCAGCGGACAGGTTATTCGCGTGCAAAGCGTTGTCGCTGTCGAAGCAAGTGACACAATCAATGAAACACCACTGGGTGCGAGGAAATTTGCCTCTATTCACCGCCTGCTGCGTGTGTAAAGCAGAATGCGGGAATCTGCCGCGCCTGTCAGACCATCGCTGTGTGTGGTGCCAGAGGACGGTTCACGACAACTGTTTATATTTGGTCAAGACAGCAGAATGCGATTTCGGGAAATATTGTAACTTGATCATACCCCCATATTGTCTATCATTAACACTAGTCGGTTGGAAGGGGCGCAGGCATTGGAGCGTGGCGGGAGTTGTCAGCCCACCTGATGACAGAAACTGGAAACCGATTTTGGTTTTCTGTAATCGTAAAAGTGGGAACAATGAAGGAGAACAGATTCTCAGTACATACAGATCTATGCTTAACCCAGTACAGGTGAGTACAAGAATTAATAAATAATTTAAATATAATTTATGAAATTACCTATAGAATAACTATACTAATTAATGAAATAATAAATAAATTAATAGTTGTAGTAATTGTTGTAGTTCTGAACACAATCGTCTCATGTTCACTGCACCAGCTGAATTTAAATGACTTCAAAAATGGGTATATTACAATTTTAGATGAAATAAAGTAGAAAATATTATTCATGTTGTCATGGTTTCTCTCCTAAACTGATTTGTAATAAAGTAATTAATGTTGGAAATACCTTATATTTTTATTCATTGTTGACAAAAAGTTTTTTTTTTTTTACAAATTCCGTATGTTGAGACTCACTTGAGTACCAGGCTACTTTCACTATGTCAATAAAGATGGACACAGTTAAATAGTTTAATAATGTGGAATTTTTAAAAGCACTACCAATTCAGAGTTCTATAAATAAATGACAAACAACAAATAAAAATAGTGGGTGTCCAATCTTGTTTCAATAGAAATGATGACTTTACGATTTCCCTATAACGTTTAAACCCCACTTTGGCGGCCATTTTTGAAAATATGAAAAAATACATACAATCAAGGTTCATAATTCAAAAACTAGTTTAGATACCTCTAAATAAAACATCAAATCACAAAGAATAATTCAGCAAAGTTTGAGGAAATTTTTGTTTAAAAAAATGTGTTAGCCATAACAATGCTTAAACATGATTTTTGCTAATGTGGTGGTTGTGTTATGGAAATACACCTGTCTGAAGGGATTGACCTAGATTTATTATTTACATTATTTTCCTGCTGTTGAGTTTATAAATGTATCTCATGAAGTTCGGATATGTTTTTTTAATAGCTTGAATTAATGGCTTGATTTTAGTAGTCAGACCACAGCACTGATTTCTTACTGACAGCCCCTACCCAACTAACCCACCATGCATGTGACAGCTTTTTTCCCAAAGTTTTTGACAGAAAATTAGCAAAAATAAGAAAAAATTAAGTTTTCATGAAAAATCTAAATAAAGGCGCACACTTTACAGTGAACTCCATGAAGGCATGGCTATTTTTTAAATTATTTATAAATGTTTTATAAATTTCAAATGAAAACAATCACACATCAGCCACTATTTGAAGGAAACCCGCTAAGACTCGAGAATAAATCTTTTATAAATATTTTGTAAATTTTCATTAAAAAAAATCATGCCTGCATAAAATTTGCATGGATTTTGTACAGCAAATTAGACAGAAACATCCTATTATCCGGCCTTTATCGTTTACACACTCAGTGAAGCAGAGCTTTTACAAAACATACTGGCTTCATCTTTGGTGTCCCCTCATGTGCACGACTGTTTATCAGGTTTATATTACCCTGGTACTTGCTTCCAATCCATGTGGCAGACACTGTTATTGACTAAACTGATGTACTGATAAATTGCTGTTTATTTATTGCCTTTCCTTATAGGTAGGGAGACACTTTTCTCATAAATAACCATAGATACTGACAGCAAAAAAAATAAGTTTTAGACCTTATCAATTGTGGCATACATTTTGTAATAAGGGATTGACCATTAACAAATCTAGAGAAAAGATGGTAAAAAATTATTTGTTTCTTTTTTGTTTAGTTTGAGCTACATTTGTTCTCAGTATGATATAAGCTGAAAATCCTCTTAAAATACTTATATCAGTAAAGATAAATCAGTTAATGTTCTGAATAACATAAATAAATCTTTTCTTAATGTAAAGCCAAAGTTTTTGTTTATTCTCTCCTTGCGTTGAAACTAAATATAATTCTGGATTTAAACTTTTAATTCATGTGTAAACTAAAGAAACAAATTACAGTGCTAATCACTTTAAATACTTTAATGGGAGATAATACCATCTATTTTTAACTCTTTAAATGTCAAAGTTAACATTTGTCACGTTTTATGCAAACAAAAAACACATTTTTTAAATGTTGATCAAATCCTATGTTCATTTGGTTCAAAATTAACAAAATAATTACAAAAAAAAGATAACAGGAAAAATGTTGACATTCTTGTCAGCCATGTGCTATTGTAAAATATCCATTCTAAACAAGAAAATATTGCCATATACCTTATTAATCCATACATGTCTGTATTTGTCTGGCATTCACACAGGTGGCACTCTACAGATCTACAGTGTAAACATGAAATAAGTGTGTGATATTCAACTAATATTTTTTAACCACAGAGTGTTTCTGCAGTGGATAAGCCACAGAAGCCTAATTAACCTTTTTTTTCAACGATCAATACTTCTTGTCATTGAGTTTTTATTTTTTATTTTTATTTTTTCAGAATTTAAATATGATAACACTGCCAACACATAATGTATATGGGGTATATGTTTGCTAAGTGCTAAAAATTAAATCATTATTGGTTTAATGAAATGAGCTGACATGATGGCCAACTGGCAGCCATTTTGTTGTAAACGTATTCCAAAATCCTGTACTAAACTAAGTAATTTTCTGCTTTTTAAAGGGGCACTTCAACAAATTTACTTTCTGGATTAAAATTAGAATGGATAATAACAAAAGATAGATTAACATTGTAAACAACATAAACAATAGTGTCCCATGATTCTTTAATGCAATCTCTGGGTTTGGAAGGTTCCCCTTTAAAATGAACAATTATGTTTATAAGTAAAATATTTCTGATTCTATACTGCTGAGAATTTCACATTGGTTTTTGTATTTTTAGGTTGTTGATTTATCTGAAGTCCCTCCAGAGAAAGCGCTAGAGTTGTGTAATTTTATCCCTCATAGGACGTGTACAATACTGGTATGCGGTGGAGATGGTACCATTGCCTGGGTGCTTGGTGCAATTGATAGTATGAATCTACAAGTAAGTTAAGTGGTCATTTAACCCCCTAAGCATATGATAAAATGGTTTGCATGTTTGTCCTGCATTAGGGAAGTTGTGCAGCAAAAATACTATTAAATTGGGTAGACTAATGTTCTTATCAAATAGGAACAATATAACTACATGTGGTCAGTTCTATGTACTATCTACATGTGAAAGAACCCAGCCATTTTTTATGAGGTGATATTTGTAATTATTCTGTGTTTCAGTTTATATGTGATTAAGAGTTCACAGTGAGAAAGAACAGCTGATGACTGAACTGAGCTCATTACTCTTCATTGGCAGTATGTCATTTTTGTTTACCTTCAGCCTAAGAGCTAAATGCTGCTAATGATTGAAAAAAATGGAGCAAAATGCTCTTAAACCTGACTTTTTAGGAGCAAAATACATGATAACAAATTTACCCATAATCACATTGACAGTGACTTAAATTACTAACTGTACTGTTTTGTTTTTTCTGTAGACACGGCCAAATATTGGCATTTTACCTCTTGGTACCGGTAATGACCTTGCACGGGTGTTGGGATGGGGTGAAGGGTACAGTGGAGAAGAGAACCTTGATGAATGGTTGGATTCTATTGTGAATGCCAAAGTTACCCCCATAGATAGGTAAGATATATAAAGACCTATCATGAAATTATCTACAATTAAAGAGCCATAATCTGTATCTTTCCATCCAAATCGTTTTATTTGTTAAGGTAGAAGCCTAATCAAAAATAAAAATATTTAGAATGTATTCATTTCACAATAAATTGCACTCCAGGACAATATAAGGATAATGATTTTTAAAAAAAGCTGGGAGGCACCAGCCTTTTACAATAGTATTACTACTGTAATATACTTTATTTTAGCTGGAGTTAATTTTTGCTGAAAGACTTTTTGGGTGTTTTGTATGGAATTTATTTTCACTGATTTTAGGTGAGTTGTAAAATATATGGTAAAAGGTATATTCACTGAATTTTATTTTCACTGAATCATTCGATTCAGCGAAAATAGCAAAAATAAAGTATTCTGCAGTACCGGTATCTTCATTTCTGTGCCTCTTATGCAGGTGGTCACTGAATATTGTCAATCTTCGAAGATTTGGATTTCGGAAACCAGTGAAGGTAAGAATTTAAATATTTACGTCAGTATTTTTCCCACAACACACTAACTTGATATTTACGTAAGAATAGGTATTTCACTAACAGCTGATTGTTTTCCCAAACTGATATTTTCTTTTAGAGAATGTACTTTGTATCTTGTCCTGTTTTGTTTACTAAGGGGAGAGTAGGAAATCAAACGGGCGGTGCACCGCGGTCATTACCGCGGTGGTGGTGGGTGCTCGCCTGTCGACCGCATTTTATGCAAATTTATGCATAGATTCCATGATGCCGGCTGACCGCGGTGGGCTCGCACAGCAATTCACACTTATTGTCAAGACCATTAATGAACACAAAGAACTGGGAAATTAAAAGGATCACAAAGTTCTAATGAAAAATTAAACCAATTTAGCTGAGCCAAAAGCTAGAAAACTAGTCTATAATAGTTGACATTATTTTATTTGCCTGAGCCTTGGAATAAAATCACAAAACGATCCCGAAAGACGTAGAGATCAACATAATATAAAATATGATCGCATTATTTTGTGAATATATATCATGCATGATCTCAGAAAATGTTTAGAAAGATGTTTCGCGTAGACCAAATATAATCACGCATAAGTATAAAGTCAAAGTGTTTTAATACATTGGTGAGAGGTCGAATTTACGTGAACAAGAACATGCACTAAGAAGGAAAAGCAAGCCAAAGTCGAAACAGGCTGTATCATGGACTTGGTACAACATGCGCTGCGACAATTGAGTGATCGTCGACATCATTTTGGGGCACAATTGAACTTCAAGTACGTTGCGAAACTTGCTACGCGGCGATGCTGACATCTAGTGTGTGTTGATCGAAGTTTGACCCCAAGTCATGCACTGAACTGGCGCGTTACCTTAGCAACCCTTTTCTTTCTTGGTCCGCACGTCGATTTCGTAAAATTGTAATTATATCAGGCGGTACTGTACTGTAATAACACAACCTGTATCCAATATTTCAACATCGTTTACTTAGTGTGCTGCTTTTCTAATAACGCAAATATGTTTACAGTATTGCACGGGCTCTAAATATTTCAACTTTGCAATGTATTGCTTTTATAATAATTACGCAAACTGAGTTATTTTTATTATTGTTGGGACACTAACCCGGGCTATTAAAGTGAATATGTAACCATACAATAACATACAATATCATGCGTAATGTTAACTTTTTCTATAATAAACTTTGATCGCATTATTCACGTACATTTCGACTGAACCCTAATAACCATGTGTTTGAATTACGTGCGGCAATGGGCAATGAACTCAATGAGTTCACTCACCGACATTTAAATTTGGGCCACCCAGTTTGACGCAAAACGATACAGTTACTTAACATTTGTTCAAAAAATTAATAAACTCTCACAAATACCATGAACGCGAAGAGTTAACTGAAAGGCAACGTTGTTTTTGACCCCCAAAAAACACATCAATACAAGATTATGTGTGCAAGGTTAGATTTATAGAACGTACGTGCATGACCGCTTTTTTTTAATAATCATGTCGCACGTGAAACACAGGAGACATTTTAGTTCGTCTATTTCTTGTTTAAAATACTGATCTTGAACTTTTTGTCTGGAATGCGATACTGGCAAAGAATAAACATTAATGATACCCACCGTTGTCAAATCAACAAGAGGCTCGAATCAGGAAGGCTCGACTATTTAAAACTTCGTAAATAACATTCTTTTCATGTGGTAGACTTTATTCAAGTGTAACAAACGTAAGTGAAATGTATGGACGAGTCATAATACTCGTACCTTCGAAAGTTTTGACTTTTACTCTTGGAATTGGTGATAAATACATGCATAAAATACAACATTGTTTCACGCAGCAACAATTCGTATACACCATTGAACTTATGGATTTTTATATTAATAAAATATGTGGGCCGATAATATTACCATATGCTTAGTATTTCCATGCCAACAATGCTCGTAACCTACTCGATTTAAAAACAGCTATTTGAAACAAAGACTCATGGAATCACAAAGGAAACTGTTAAGTACGTATTTCACACCTTTCCTAGGACCACTGGTACCGGTCGCGGTGAACCTCCCATTTGATTTCCTACTCTCCTCTAAGCTATATAAGTGATAAATTGTTCTTGTTTGTTGTCGTAGACAATAATAACTTATTTGAATTCAAGGTTTTCTTTGTTCAGTATATCCTTCAACTTTTGCATATACATGTATTCTGTATTATTGGCAAGCAGAAGGTGGTGGTGGTGGTGGTGGTGGTGGTGGTGGTGGTGTTGGTGGTGGTGGTGGTGAAATTTTTACAGTTTTTGTCCCTTACTGATCCTTGTTTTTTTTTATATTGAGATTCAAACTTCTTGTTGCTGGCAACTACAATATCTGCCCCTTTAGTAAGAAGAATATATTGTATTTACAAGTTTTTGGAAAAAGTATTTCTGTATTCAAAATGAGTTAATATTTTAGTCTAAATAAACATGTGTGCAAATACAGTATAAAGGAAATACAGTAACTTGTTTTCCATGTGTACCATACGGAGATACAGGAAATGACTGGGTCACCTGACTAGTCTCATAAATCTAGCAGAAAATGCCACAATCCAAGAAATTTCATTAAAATAGTCTTTTTATGGACAGGTTTATTTTTTTGGATTGCCAACTTATACATTTTGACATATTTGTCAAGAAAGAAAATAATTAGATGGTACTGTTGTAACAAAACCACATATATTTATATTGATCAAGTCAAATAAAAATTGTTTATAAATAGAATGCTAATTATTATTTTGGTCTCTAAACAAAGCCGGATCTTCAAAAATATTGCTGAAAGGGTGGTCACTTTATACAAGTGGTCTTTATGCACTGGTTGCTCATACACAATTTTTTTGAACTGCATAAAATTGGTCACTATAGACAGGTGGTTTGTATATTGTCAAGTTTCGGTAAATCTTACTGGAAATACAATAATAGTTAATGTAACGACAGGGAGTATGTGAGCCAGTTAACTAACAACATTAACCAATGGGGTAATGAGTTCGCTGACACTGACGAGAGGTTAATCTAGGAATTAATAAAATAGAAAATTAGATTGTTTACAAAAAAGTTTTCAAAGATAAAGGCCAAAGAAAATCAAAAGACACTTTCAAAACTTGAGCTCGAAATCAGCGATACTGAACAAAATTTAAACAGCAATAATATGGATTATTACGTGCAGTTAAAGGAACAAGTTGATAAAATTTGCGATGAAAAAGCTTGTGGGTTCGATAATGCATTCTAGATGTCTGTGGTACCAACAAGGAGAAAAAAAGTTTTTGTTGGGGTTAGAAAAAAGTATAAAGCAAAAACAACAGTAAAGCGTTTATCTATGGAAAACACAGATACAACTGATCTACTAGATATAAATAGGCAAATTAAACAATTTTATTCAAAATTATATTCCGCGAAAAGGGTCAATTTACTAGATGAAAATGCAAATGATTTTTTACGTAACTGTGACATACCAAAACTCAGTGAGAATGATAAAATCTTGTGTAATGGTAACTTAACTTTAAATGAATGTTATATGGCCTTGCAATCATTACCAAATAACAAAACACCCAGCAATGATGGTCTCACCTCAGAGTTTTACAAAACTTTTTGGCATATAATTGGGAACTATGTGGTTAGGAGCTTAAATAAATCATTCTTAGAGGGGGAGTTAACAGCAACACAAAAACAAGGCGTCATTACTTTAATTGCGAAAACAGGAAAAGATAAAACATTACTCCAAAATTACAGGTCAATAACTCTTATTAATGTGGATGTTAAAATTGCATCAAAAGCTCTGGCAAAGCGTATTATAAAAGTTCTACCAACAATTATCCATTCAGATCAATGT